TTCTAGGCAAAATAATGGCTATCAAACATAGCCTAAGCATTTTGACCGGTAAATATATTTACCTTTGCCGAATCAAACTTGAGTGAAAAAGTCCCATTTGAAGTCTTTCTTGAATCTGATCCCTCGAGCAATTTCATATTTTTCACTGCCTTCATGTCCTCGCTTGATAATTTTGCCAACTGAAGTAGTAAAATAGCAGCCTCATCAATTTTATCTAATATTCTAGATCAATTATATTTCTCAGAGCATTTCACAAAATATAATATCAAGTCCAGGAATCACATAAGTGGATAAAATTTTCTCCACCCCCTGCTCAGCAAGTGGATACTCATCTTCCTCCGACCTCGTGTGAGTCAGTGGCTTCAATTAATTACCATTTTAATGACCAACAAGGGCTTGACACTTGAACTCATTTTTAGACATCTAAAATTGAACAAACTGAAATTGATTAAAAATCAAAATAACTTGAAACGAAAACTAAAGAGAATCCAGTTAATGAAATCACTTTGTTGATAAATAGGATCAATCAAATAAACTTTTTCCAAAAGTGTAAATGTAATTTGAAAAAACTAAAATCTAACAATGTCATCTTTCAAAGCTTATGTAAGAACTCTCAGTTCGTGATAACATTCTTTACCTTAATTGTAATTTCAACCGCCATTTCTCACAAGTCATTCTTAATTATTAGAGCAAGAGTGATCTAGAGACAATCGTCTCAATTATATGATTATTCGGTCCAAAATCCCAAACCCAATGCTAGTACAGTAAGTGCAGGGGCGGAGGGAGGAGGCACATTATCCCAGAGCTGCACCAAGCCCATTTAACTTCTCATGTGTAAAATTCAATAACTTGATCATAAAAGATATACTCCATCCATGATAGTTTGTATGGAGTTCCAGGCGAGGTATGGAAATTAAGAGGTTATTTTATGTAACATTTCACACTCACCCTGACTAGTCTACTGATCTAGAATCCTTCTTAACTGCATCATATAGTTTAAGGAAAGGTACTTTGGAAAGACAAATAACTACGTTTGGAAAGAGACCATCACTTGTGGACATCCCAAAAGGAAATAGTAAGTGATAAAAAAATGCATGCAAAGATAAAATTGAAACAAGCATTCAAGATTAATAAAAGTGCACCTAAATCATCTCTCAAATGAGGATAACATATAGAAGGATGCAGAGCAGATGGACTAAGGAATGAACGATAAAGGTTAGGATCAGTCAACCTATCACATCAAGATACTCTTAAGTCTTAACAGCTGTATTCTAATTCCAATCAAAATAATCTTTCAGACTAGTGTATAATTGTACCCTCTCGGCTTCTGATGAATGTTCTGTTCCGTAAAAAAAATTCTGTTCTTGCATTTCAACATAATGCAGTAGGATATCCAAGGCATGTTCAAAATAAAAATTAAAGTATATACCCCGTCATTCTCACGAAAAATCATAGTTCAGCTTTGAATAATATTTTAGAAGAGAATTTATCTCACCTTAATGCTTTTGGTGTTTACTGAAAACAATAGGGCCATATATTAGATATTTAGCGGAATTATTTTGAGATAATATCAGAGACAAGGGATCTCCCGTGTATTGAAAAATCACAAAACCTCCGCACAAATGAATGTAACTTTCCTATTTTAACCTTCGTTATATTAGATTTGGAACAATCTTTTTTTCTTGTTTTTATTTTTTCTTAATTTTAGCTTGAAGAAAACTCAAAATGCTAACTTTAATATTTTTTGTATCATGATAAGAACAAAAAGAAAATAATTTATTCAGTATAATGCAAATATGTGAGTGTGTGTGTGTGTGAGAGACAGAGAGAGAGAGAGCAGTCACCTGCATTAGTTTTGTTGCTTTGTCACCATCAAATTTTTCTGGATAGACGGAAGCATATATCATCAAAAGCCGTAACTTATTCTCGCACATCCCATTCTGCATGAGGTAAAGAAACGGTCACAGTGCCGCGAGACAAAAAACACAATGCTAGCCAGACTTCTGGATGCAGACACAGACATAAAAATTATCACCTGCTTCATTCTCAAAAAATTGATGACTTCCTTTGTTCCTGCATCGCCAAATACAAGATCTTGCTCGAGTTGTCCAAGTTCTCGAAGACCCACTTCTCTGATGATTGCATTCAGTTTTCCAGCAATCTGAAATAAAAGAAGTATATAATCAGCTCAATAGAAAGTGGTTAACGTGCTTGGATTGTCCTGCCTTTATAATACTTATAAAAGGTTTCATTTGATTAGTCTTCGGTATCACATTTAAAATTAGAATGAACGATAGAACTCTATATGTGTACGAGGAATCCTGACAGAAAGCCTAAAATGATTACATAGTTCATAGCTTCAAGCTTCCATGATACACAGTTAAAGGGGCTTGAGGTTCTTCATAGGCTAGATGATAAATAGTTAAAGTGCTTCATTGAGGATGCTAAAAGAGAGTGGAGGAGAAATAATTTATAAATCCTATGAAGAAAGAAGCAAACCTCAACATGGAGAGAGAGTTTCTCCATTTGTTCATTGTATTGTGGTAAAGCTTGAACCATTTTCTGCAGGTCTCTTGTGGACAATTCACTACCATCTCTACATAAAAACAAAATTCAACATCAGACGAGAAAAACAAACAGTAATAATTTCATGAAAGGACGCTTCCGCTCTTTTGAAACTCTACACATTTATAACATTTAAAATTTATTCATGAATATTTTGAAACAGAAATGGATAGACAATAACTCTTCCGGTAAAACTCCACTTAAAAAAAGCTTATAAGAACATAACGAAAACAAAAAATCATAACGTATCAGTGATCATGACAAAATGGTAAGAGTAAATGTCAACACATCTAAAAGTGTGTCTCGTAGTTTATAATCTTTTCAAATTACCAGATAGTGCTGATTTGTCTAAACAAGTTCCTTTTGCAGTTTTCAAAGGAAAGATCTTAGCACTGGGAAACTGCAAATTAGTATAAACTATGACATCATAGGATCTCCTTGGCCATTTCTCTATTCAAGAAATAAAATTTCGTGGGTGATGGGAAAATGTATCCGCTCTAAGAGACTGAAATTAAGATTCCCAAAGATAGTGGTCAAAGAAAAAAAACTTTCTCGGTGAAATATAATAGATATGCATCAATGTGGTAACAAAGGGGGAAAATTGTATGTATGAGAACAATTATCACCAACCTCTGCTGCAATTGTGCTGCTTTGTTCTTTGAAACAAAATTTGTCATCTTCTCGCTCAACTTTTCACTGGCCTGAAAAATTCAAATTGAGGAACAATATTCATATACGAAAAAATAACCCCAAGAGATAAGATGAAGCATGAGAAGTACCTCTGCTATATGAGCATGTCGGAGCTCAAGCCAGACAGGGTCGTTGTCTTCTAAAAGGACTTCCTTTTTCTCAGGCTCTCCTCCTCCTGATTTGCTTGGAATCTTTCTTTCATTATGTCATCAGATGAGTCCACTTATCTCAAAATAACCCCTCCAAATATAAAGACAACAAAAACATTTACCTCATGCACGTATTTGTTTCCCTCCAAATCAAGCATATCATGGCACATAGCATCATAGGTCCATTCGTGAATAATTGGAGCGATCTAAAGCATCAGATTCATCATAAGTGTAACAAAAAGAATTAAATCTAAATGTACATTTTTGTTGACATTAAGGATGACACTCTTGATTCCCCTATTTGTCAAAATCTGGTCAATAATGTGAAGAACATTGCTGTATGTACAGATAAAAAAGATACAGAAAGCTTACATATTACACACAAATAGGTGGGGCCCATTTTTAACTTTTCTGCAATATTTAATTCACATGGGTCTCACCCCCATGTGAGTATCTGTATTTCTTCTGTAAAAAATTTTCTGTGCAAATAGATAATTCTGAAAGGATATTGTAAAAAGCAAAGAATGTGATGGATGCCATATCAAAGAATGTCAAACTTAATATACACGTAGTATGCTTCTAACAAAAAACCTTTAACCAACAAAGAAAATGAAAAAAATATTATTAGGAAAATAGTCAAAACCTGATCTATTGATCTGTCCACTATTAGTAATTCACACGTTTCCGTCTGTGGAAAGTTAGGAATGGCTGATTTATACATTTTAATGTTGTTCCATATAGCAGCAGCAAGCTTTGCAGGAACCAATTCACGGGGTGTTTTCGTCGTTGATGCATCATCAAGTAACTTGGCAGCTCGATATCTCACAAAAGGAAATTCCTATAGATTTAGCATCATGTTAAGTGACAGCAGAGGAATAAATAAACACATGAAATAAATCCAGCTCTCACATTTTCCATATTAGCAGCCACAAATCACAATCAAAAAGGTTCCAAGATTACTTATTTTCCAGTTCTCTGCTCTGTCTTTCAGGTTCCTATATCACTCTTTCCATTTTTGATATTTTTATTATCTTCCCTACTAGTCTAACACCATTATCCAAAAAACTAATGGAACAGAGTGTTGGGGAATTCTGGAGGAAGGTTAAGTTTGTCAATTCATCTATCTTGTACCATTCATCAGAGAATAATACAATGGTAATAGAGTACAGCTTAGGAAATAAAAATTGTCAAAAGCCTAGAGTTCAATAAACTTTGGATCAATTTTGACCAAATGAGTCTTCAATTAAACTAGACACTGCTCCAGACATAATGAATTTTTTCCCTTCTACATATTTAATTGTAATTAAATATCATAAAATAGTATTTTTCTTTTGTATGGATGCATATCCAAAAGCTGAAAGAAGTTAGCCCATCGCTACCTTTAATGAAGCAAAAACAGTAGCAATTCTAGTAGCCATTACATTCAAGCACGCATCAAATCTGCGAGAATTTAAAGCATCTTCACCAAAGAGTTCTTCTAGTGCTCTTTCATGATCGGTAATAAAAGCCTGCAACCAAAGTTACCAAGCTGATAGAACTTCCGTCTTAATTAGGACCCATACATAAATGTGAGAGGAAACTAAGAACTAAAAATCAGATAAACTCATTGGACAGAAACTTCTAATTACGTATAAAATATTTTCTCCATTATTATGCATTTCTAACTTGTAGATCTAGTGAAGCCTATCCATGGTGCTTAAATTTAAATTTCCTGCAATGCTGAAAGGTATTACCAATTTGCATCAACACAAGTGATTCATGCAATACCTGACTGTCGATAGAGAAGTACTCCAAATTCATCTGCATTTTGCCAATGGAAAAGAATTTTTTTAAAAAAACAAAAATAACTGTAAGAAGTGTCAACAGTATAAAAATGAACTTCGCTGCTTGAGATGAGAAGATGTTAACCTCTCTTAATGCACCAATACGTGGTAACACACTAGTATCATTCTTGATTCGAGCAACAAGTTCTTTTGGCACAGATGAACTGAAGTATATATATGCTCTGACAGAGGGATACCAAGATAACAAGCAAATGTCAAAATCTGTAAAATCAGATCAAAGGATGTATGATATTCAGAGAAATATTTTTTTATCGCTCACTTCCTGTATAAGGGTTCTCTTCCTGACATGTCTGACAAGAACATAATGACACTGCATAGATTTCAAACAGTAATCAGTCCCTGTCTTCTTATAAGACATTCTGAATAACTAGTATCCTAAAACAGATAAAAAGTGTTAAATATATAAATGGAAATTCCACGTGCACGGACTTTGCAAACAAATAAATCCTGGAGTGGTGGGATATGGCTCAAAACTACCAGTATAAGCACCTAAAATGTGCATAGTTATATTTTGCACATATACTGGAATGCATATATCTTGCTTTCTTTTCATTAAATAAATGCATGATAATTTAAAAAAAAAAAAGAAGAAATTGAATGATAACCATACTTCTCCTTGGAAGGTTGAATGAAGTATATGGCATCCATTGATGGCAAAGGTTGTCTTCTTCTGAAAAGGTCTTCTACCACTGCCAGATGAAATAGTAATAATAAAAATTAGAAGAATAACTGGGAAAATATTCAAGAAAATCGAAAACTGTTTGTAAAGATGTTAAACAATTGATTGGCAGATGCATTCATGTAACGTGATTATCAAAATCATATTGCCTGAGCACCGTTAGTGCATAACTGAAACTTGGACTAGTAATTCAGATAAAAATATAGAATGGATAACACATCTAGTGAGAATCCAAGTGATTCGATCTAGGATAATGAAACACGAAGAAGGGCTAAAGCCTTTTTGTCACGACAGTTCACCAGATCTGACAAGTGAGCAGAAAAAAGTAGAGTACATTGAAGATAAAATGACCAAAAAAAGATTTGTTGAGGTTAACAAGAAACAAGGTGACAGGATTTATGATGTAAACATGATGGTATGATACTAATTTATCATATGGTTCTCACATGAAATTCCTTGGTCTGTGATATCTGCCATTTTGCAGGAGTGAGACATCACTTTCACTGTGACTTTATCCATGATAAGTACCTGCACAAATTTGAGAAGTGAGGCGCCTAACTCACAAAAACTAAAGGGCCACCAGAGTTGAAAAAACATGGAAAAACAAGTATGTTAACAACATAAAATGTGATGTTCTTTATTTGCTAGCAAATGCTAGAGCTTCAGAATTAATTCTGACACAATTTTGAATAGTTTCAAGTTCAAGATTACAAAAAATTTGGACTAATGCTTGTCAACTACTCTATGTAAATAAATAACTATTTATTTAATAAAAAGGAAAGAAACTAAAGTGCACATATATAAGAAAAACCAAGAATGCCTAAGAAAAGGTATATTTTGCTCAAACTTTCACTTCAAAGGTCCCTTAATTTGCTATTGATTCGTTCAGCTGCATCCTCAAAATTTGCTTATTTTACCTGTCAAATTAAACTCAAATTCTATTTTCATTTGAAAGAATTCATGTGCCTTGGCATGCTTCAGAGCTAGTGTCGAGGTTATTAATCATATCTGATGTTAATCATGTAATTGAAAACTGGAGGATGTGGCCAATATCATACCTGTTAAACAAAACATGACAATAGGAGATAAAACTTACCTTCCACGACGATCTTGAATCTCCTGATTTGGAAGATTGAAGCATTTCATACAACAGCCCTAAAAAGTTCACCAAAACAATCAGCTCAAATACCGAAAATTAACATTTACAAAATTTAAAAGTCATCCATATACTTGTGCATGCTTAGGAGAGGATATGCAAAGCTGGACAATTTAAGGCATGACACAAAGAAACAAGAAAGTAGTTAAACTGAAAACTGTATATTTTTAATACAATAGCCGTAAAGTCCACTGCACATCCTCTTTGTTTATGCATATAAGCCTTTTCCAGCTACATATAATTTTCCACTATTCATTACATAATCTCCAACTCTTAAACCAAGCTGCATTATAAACATGGCCAGTCTCCTGGCCAAGCCAATACCAAATCAAAAATCACTATGAAGTAAGCACCTTTTCTCGTGCAAATTAATAGGCCATTTGACATTTTTCTCAGTCCATCAAATACTAAACTATAATTTCCCAAATCCTGTAGAATATTGGTCTCTTAAATCAAACCATTATTTGATATAACCGATTCTCTTGATCCAAACATAAGTTGGTAATTAACCCCGATCCAAATATTTTTTAACAACGTGAAGCAAGAGAGGAAAATTTACACATATACACATCCAGTAAGCTATACAATGACGATTGCAAAATACATAAAATCGTAAATGAAAGCGAAACAAAAAGAAATAATACTGCAGTTTATCTGTGTATGTGTTTTGAGAGATAGTGAAATGATAGAATGGCACTTACGATCGCGGCTGACTTGCCGGAAAGTCTTGTACTCTCCGCCATGGGAGGACGACTCTGAATCCGAAAATGACATCTAATTGAACTTTTTTCTCAGTAATGGAGGTGAAATTGGATTATTTTCAGAGTCTAATCCAACTATTTTCAAAATGGAGAGATAAACAGAGAATGAAATACAAAAGAGGAAAAATGGCAGTGCGTTTTTGAAGGCGAGGGAGACTGGGAAAAGGTCGTTATGTTTGTGGGGACGCATAATTTGCTCCAACGGTGGTTACTTAATTTATTCTATTTAACTCCCATCTTTTATCTTGTATTTGCTTTCCACCCCCCGTAACTTTTATGCCATTTTGGTACGATGTTAAGTTCCATATAAGAGTGTTTGAGTACATAATATTGTGCAATAAATATTACTTATTGTGTATCGTGAAGAATAGGTCTAGCCATCGAACCTCCCCAACCGAAATCGAACCAAGAAAATAAATTATAAACTGAAATCGAGAACTGAATGAGTTCGAATTGGTTCTTGGTTCTTGAACTAGAACCATGAATACCCGAAAGAACCAAATAAAAAATCTAAAAACTCTTATTTGAGTAGTAATTTTGTATAAAACTCTAGATTCTAACCTTAAGTAATCAAGATTGACTTCTACTTTTTGCCTCTCGCCTCACATCAAATTATTGCATTTTAGATGTTAGTACATGTTAATCTTTGCAATTTGAATTTTCTAAAATAAAAGGTTGAATTGTGGTGTAAGTTGATGAATCAAAACATTCACTCTTTGTAATTTCGACCTTTTATTTTCTTGTATTGTTTACAAACTTAAGTGATTTCTTTTTTTTTATATATATATAGCACGTGACAATTGAACTAGATATATTCATTAACTTGTGCTATATTATACCTTTTTTTGTTATCTCGAGTTCGTGATTTTTTTTTTTTTTTGAAAAATTATTTTTTCAAAACTCATTTTNTAAATTTTCGTTTTTATTCAAACAGAGCGAATTCAATGTAGACTACAATTTTATGATACTACATAATTATGTATCTAATTAGTATTTTTTATGTCAATTCTTTTTAAGAGTACAAAAATTTAAGCATTGTTCATAATTAAATTATAAGCTCTAACATATATGAATCAAATAAAATTTATTGAAAAAAAATCATATGTTCACAATATTTTATTCTCTCCTCTTTTATTAGTATACTTAGTCTCCACTATCTTGAGTCATATAGCTGGATTTCTTAGATTCTTGGAGATTTTTTATCTGAATTTTCTCCCTTACACAAATATTGTTGAGTAGTAGCGTGTTAGATATATGTATCGAAAGTGACTATATGAAAATATTTATTGAATATATATATTAAAAAATATTATGGGTAGAACCAAACCCGAATCGGAACTGACAGTTTCAGGATTGGGTTTGGTTCAAATAATTATAAGGATCGAATAGTTCTATTTACGAAATACGAAAAATATAATGGATGGTTCCGAGTAATGAAATACCCGGATCGACCCACCCGACGCATACCCCTAGTGAAGAATTTCACTTTATACGAATGTTTCAATAAGGAGATAGAAATTTAGATTTGTTTAGATTTAGCCTACCCGAAAACCTAAAGGTTCCTCCTCAAGGTTCATCCACGGAAAGTGAGTTAGGGGTCCCAAGGCCTAAAATCAAGCAGAAAGGTGTAGTTGATGGAAAATATGTGAACATTCACGTACTACCCTTTGTTCGCTCCGAGGCATAAGGAAGGCTAGGTTAGCCAAAAGCTTTTATTGGTTCTAGAAAGATGCCAATGCTTTTTCAGGGTTAGAGAGGGTGGAGAAATTGCCCAAGAGCCAATGTTTGAGCACCGGGGAAGGGAGAAGGTTGTGAAGGTGAACTCAATCCACACCTGCAGTTGGATGTAGCATGAATAGAAGACTGATCGACTTGGGTTTTCACGAGCGTTGGAAGGTTCGGGAGTGCCTTAAGGCTAAGCTTCACTAGTTTCTTGGAGCAAACAATCGTTGCCTAACACAAAAGGCAGTTTCGAGATCGTTCCACAAACTTTATATCCAATCATCAATTTCGTCCGACTCTTTCATCGACTATGGCATTTAATCACAATTCTTGAAGGACTTGAATAATCTAAATCGACAATTTTGTCCAAATCCAAGCTTACATCCGAGTTGATCGCTTGTCCTCCATTGTCAGAAAGAAGAATTAATCGTGTTGATTCTTGCATGACATTGGCGAGTGGTGCATCCAATTGACATGATCATCCTGGCTTTCTTTTTTTCGTATCTATTCAAATTTTCCTCTACTGCTCTCGATCATTTCTTGTTTTCAACATCAACCAATTCTTTTGCTTCGATGATGAAGGCAAAATAATAACTCAATTTAATTTCGGATTTGTTCGTTTTTGACGAATTGCTAATCTAATTTGAGTGGAAACGGGCTAATGATCACAACTCAGGGCCTTTGGCCCTGAAGCACTTCAAATTTTGGGCAAATTCCATCGTTTAGGCTCTCAATTATGCGTTTTTGCCGTTTATGGTAATTT